GTAATTGACCAGGCGAGCAATACGGAAGGAAGGAAAATAAAGCAAATTGAAAGTCCTTGTAGACCAGTCCACCAGAGCAAGAGAAATATTAAGGCAGGGCAAAAGCTGTAACTGCAGTTGCACAAAGTGGGCCTGAAACCCAGACACATCTCTCTGACGTGAGACCCTGGCCAGCGCCTTCAGGAGTCAGTGCCCTGTCTTGCTGGCTTGGGCCGTGTGGCCAGCCCACAGTGGGAGCAGCTCCAGTGCAGTGCCCAAATATGGCCTGGGTCCCCCATTCAGCCACCAACAGCCGCCCTGGAAGGGGAGCAGGGTGGGTCCTCCCTGGTGCTTGGAAATCTTGTCTCATGTAAGGCCAGTTGTGTCTTCCAGAGTAACAGACTGCTGCTGACAGCCTCACCATTCCCTGCCCTACTGAGCCACGCACGCAGTTCTGTGTCCACAGCAGAGGGCAGTCCGTCAGCCTTCCATGCAGTTCTTTAGTGCCCTCAAGTGGTGCTTTGGTGCATGACAACAATGCCAAGTGAGTGTTCAGGTGGTGCAACTCTCTCCAAATCCCCTCTCAGTGAGTCCTCAGGCTCCTCTCCCCGTGAGTCACTCCAGCACCAGGCAGGATCAGGTCAGGTCGGCCAAGAAGCATGACTTGTACAGTGTTTGGGGATTTAGCACAGGAGCCAAGAGGCTTTATCCACAGACTCCCCACACCCTAGCCTCACCAGCACAGCCACTCCTCACTTCACACATGCACCCTCTAGGAAAAAAGAGAGAGAGAGAGCTTGGATTATTCTGGAGAGCTCCATAGAAAAGACAAGCACCGATGGCCAGAGATCCAGGAGACGATTCTGGTTCAATAAGAGAACTGTGCAACCATCTCACTAAAAGCGGGAAGGTAGGGGAGGGACAGCAGGGGAGGGTATATAAGCCTGATAACCATTGTCAAACTCCTGTGGGTAGATTCATTACATCGAACAATGGCGTATGACAGAACCAGTCCTCTCTACAATGACTAAGTTGCCATCATAAATGACTGCCTTTCATTGCAGAAAAACAGACCCAATCATCATTAGTGAGTTTGCTATTCGTGCGTGACCACACTGGGCCTGTCTACTGCATTCTGATGTTGCTGGGTTGTCAGGCATTGGAGAAACCCAGCTTCTGCCACTAGGTCACTGTTGACCATGGGACCAAGTTCACTCTGTTTCCTTAACTGAACAGTGAAAGGATGTCAGGAAGCCCACATTGCCCTCAGTAAAATGCATCCCGACTCCTGCGTGGTTAGCAATGAAGGGGTAATCTCTAGCATTGACCACTCTGATTTTGGTTACTAGAGATCACCTTCCCCTGGGGTCCCTCTCTCACTTGGAGACCTCGAGGGAGCCTGCTGTCGTCTGTAGCACTCCAGCCAAGTCTGGACTTGATGCCCATAGAACCAAAGAGGCTGAGCTATGGCTTCCTGTGGTTTGGAACAGCAAAGGGAAGTCAAGCCTGGGAGAACATTCCGTTGTATGATCTGCTTACAAATTGGCCTGAACTGGCCTGAACCCACAGGCCCCACCCTTCCTGGCTCCTGCCTCTGTATGGGACCATCGCCTTCCCTAAATTGAAGGCTAGGCATAAAGAAAGGTATCTAACCTTCCACCTGCCTCAGGCCCACCTTCCACACCCTTGGGTGCTATCAAAGTGCCCCTTCTTCCTAGTGATAGACCCCAGGAATGTCTACCTCCTACTCACAGAGGTGTGCCTTTGTAAAGCCTGGGCCTTAACAGCACAACTCCCTCAAAACACAGCATGCTGAACTGTGGCCATCCACCCTCAGTGGGATCTGATCTAAAGGCAAACAGCTTCACAGAGAAATCTTCTTTTAGTAAGTTTGTGATTAATCATGTAGCGATGAATCAATTCTGAAACTTTTTGTATCTCTACCCATGAAGACATGGGTAAATATTTTGATGGCATTGGAAGCCAGTGAGATGCAAATGTGGGATGGGGGAAGGCAAATGAGAACTCTGTGGTGTTGAATTTTATCTGTATCTATGTACAGATAGATGATAAGTGATGACAGACAGACAGAGAGATAAAAAAGGGCCTAGAAGTAAGGACACTTTAGGAACTGAACACATGAAGGTGTTGTGTTTTTGGCCTGAGGGTACATCTACTTTCTGGAGAGAGACACAGAGGAAGAGAGAGAGAAGGAAAAGGCATCCCCTCACACATACACCAGGGGATGTGGTCATGACACGATCCTTTCTCCTCCATTTCTCCATCCTGATGGAATTTGGGGCACACATGCACACATGTCCAGTGGCACGCACACATGTCCAGTGGCACATGCTCAGTGTGTCTCTCAAGCCGCTGGGCTGGAGCTCCAGCCATGTCAGTCATGTCAGTCATGTGAGGTGTGCCTCCCTTAGCCACTAGGCCATGGGGCTGGCTCTAGATACTGGTTTCTAATATTCTCCACTAGAAAGAAGCAGGACTCCTCAGATACATGACTGGTTCCAAGGCTGGGACAAGGAAAGTGTTAGGAGAGTCTGACATATCTTGCGCCTAGAAGTAAGAAAGTGCTCCCAAAAATTATGTAACAGGGCCAGCCAGGGAGGAGGGGTTGAGGCAGGTAGATCTTACATGACTGACTACGCAGTTCAAGTCCCAGACCTGGCAGCTTGAAAAACATTGCCGGGCATGTTTTTAATTATGGGGTCCATGTGGAGAAATCATCTGTGATGAGGGAGTTTACCAATGGCCAAACCTGGAAAGATCTGATCAACAAAATGAATAATGTCACAGGCCCTGTGGCCTGGTGGATAAGGAAACAGGATCCTACATGACCAATTGCAGTTTAAATCCTGGCCCCAGCGACATGCCAAGCATGCGTACATATGTGTACAAAATCCCAACAGGATGGAGAAATGGAAGAGAAGGAATTGAAGCATGATCATGTCCCATTGAGAAAGCATGCTTTCTCTCTTTTCCTCTCTCTGCCTCTCTGTCTTTCTCCGGCAAACACCTGTGCCCTTTGACAATTGTTTTAATGAACAATGATAGCAATGCAGGACCAGCAGATGGTGTAATGGTTACATCACTGGACTCCCACCATAGTCAACCGTGGTTCTAGTCGCAGACCCGATGGCTTAAAACTCGTGCCAGGTGCTTGTGCATGCTTGTCCAAGATACCAGGAGGAGAATGGAGGAGAAGAGATTGAAGCATGACCATCCCCTTGGGGAGGCGATTTCTCGCTTTCTGACTCTCTGTCTCTCCAGCGAGTGCATGTACCCTATAGCAAAAATCTCTCTCAAAATAATAATAATAATAATAATAATAATATCAATGGATTGTAGGACACTGAAGTAAAAAGGAACCCATGCTGTCATGCATAAGTAAATGGGAGAAAAGGGAAGCCCTTGTTTCAGTAGAGTGCCAAGTGTTTAAGTGAAATGACAGAGTTAGAAAATCACCATTTCACAGCCACCAAAGTAATAAATGACTCAGGTAAGAATCATCAATGGATACTGAAACCACTGAGTGAGCGTTTGTGGAGGAACAGGATACTCATACAGTCTCAAAGTAGCTCCCACAGATTATTTATTAATTACAAAGGGGAAACAGTACCTTTCGAGTCGAGGGATCTGGCACGCATCACCTCAACCAAGTGGTCACAGTTAGCACCACCACTGATGGCTCAGAGTGCCATTGAGTGCCCCTGATGGGAAGCACAGAGAAGGCGAGGACATCACTTATGTAGGATGCCTGCCAAAAATGCATAACCTGAATCTAACCGTGACAATACATTGAGGAAAACCCAAATTGAGAGACAGTCTACAAAATAACTCAACTTGCTTCTTCAGAAATATCAATAACATAAAGAACCAAAGAAGACTGTGGAGTTGTTTGAGATCAAAGGAGACCAGGGGGACACAAGAAGTAAATGCAATACACACTCTGGGTTGGATCTTGCTTTGGAAAAACCACAGTTGCCATGAAGGACATTATTGGTCCAACTGGTAAAACGGGAAAATGGATAGTGTGTTAGTATATTCTATCTGTGCTAAATTTCCTGAACTGGGTAAGTATATGTGGTGATATGAGAGTATCACCTTATTCTTAGGAGATACATGCTGAGATATATAGGGGCGAAGGGTCAGGATGTCTGCAACATGCTCTCAGATGGTTCAAAAAATGTAAATAGATGGTGGATACTGCTTAATGTCCTGGGCAGCTTTTACTTCCCCTGCCACCCTCTGGCTGATTCTATCCCAGAGTTTCCTAATTCCAATTCCTGAGCGGGGAGAATGTGCTTGGATAGCCTCCTCTCCATCACCCCCCTTTCCGCAGAGCACTTTGTACTAGGAAACCTCAGACGTCTCTCACCAGCCTCTGGATTGGCTGCCTGGGGTCAGGTGCCACCTGTTGTCCAATCAGCTCTGGCCCAGTTTGGGTCATGTGGTACATAACGTGGCTGCCACTACGGCTCCCACAGTGGGGGTGGTAGGCAGGAGAGTCTCCTTAGAAGGGCTTGAGAAAAACCCAAATCGAGAGACAGTCTACAAAATAACTGATGGGCCTCAGGCTTGACCGACAGGTATCTTCTCTGTCTTCATCTACCCGAGTTATGCCCAGAGACACCTGAAGACCTTCCGACATGATTTTGTGCCTCATTATCTGACTCTTTCAGCAAACATAATGGATACCATTTCAGGGCCGGGTCTTGTGCTAGGAGTGGCCCAGACCCTACCCTCAAGAGCTCTGACTCAAGTTGGTTGGGTTTGAAGAACACAGAGAACTGGAGTGCAGGGTTAAGTTGCAACCAAAAACAGAAATAGTCTGCATTAATCGAGACCTGAGCTGCACACTGTGGGAATGCAAAGATGGAGCCAATAATCCTCCTGGATGGCAGCATTGGCTGTGGCCCCCGGGAGGGAAATGGACCCTTAGACAGGGACCCGGCTGTTGGAAGGGTGCCCAGCACCATCCCTGGGGTTTCTGTTTTCTCCTCTTGCAGCCGGACCCAGCAGGACGGGACATCTCCATCCGCCCTCTCCTGGAGCACTGTGAGAACACCCACATGACCATCTGGCTGGGCATCGTCTATGCCTACAAGGGGCTTCTCATGGTAGGTGTGGAGCAGGAGGCAGAGTGGAGGGGTCACTTCTCTGTCAGCCTTTCTCTCCCAGGAGACTCCATCAACAAAAATAAACAGAACCCTGGTGACTAAGCACTTCTCTGCCAGGCCCAGTGTCCTCCATGTGTTATTTCAGCTCCCACAACAGCCCTGTGAGACAAGTAAAAATAGTATCCCCATTTCACTGATGAGGTCACTGAGGCTTGGTGTCTTTCCTGAAGCCATTCAGCTAGGAAGCAGCAGAGGCAAGATCTTAACCTGAGAACCATCCCAAAACCTGTGACTGCAACTCACAGCTGTCACTGTACTGTTCCCGGAAACAGCAGTCTTGACAACCAGCAGATGCCCACATCCCACATTTTGTGGGATCGCCTCTAAATCCATGGGAGGTCAATGGAATCATCCCCATTTAATAGATGAGAAAAGTCAGGGCCAGAGATGGGAAATGATTTTCCAATGATTTTCCCATAACCCCCATTCTTTGAACCCAGCACTCCTACTCCGCTGATATGTTAAAATCAAAGATCACCTACCAAGCCCACCTCATCCGGTTGTGGGATTTCAGAGTTAGGAAGGCCTAGAAAGGTCAGTCCCACCCTACTTTAGCCCAGTGCAAACAGCCAATCTTCTCTCCCACACCCTGTACAAGCAGTGCCTCTATTTAAATCCCTCCAACACCAGGAGGCTGACCACCCCAGTCTCCTCAGATCTGTCCACAGAAAAGTTAAGCCACTCTCTGTGGCTCTCACGTGGAGTCCAAGAACGAAACCCTCTCCAAAAGGCAAATAAACTGGAATTTCTTGGGCTGCTCAAATGCATCCTTAGCCTGATGTTGCTTCAGAGAACAACTCATGATTGATCCCATGTCCTGCAGGGGCCTGCAGCAGAAGAGCATGTGTGAGGGGACCCAGGGCAAAGATTGTCCCCCACTTCATGTCAATTGAGATCCCCCCTGTGGCTTCCATGAAGGTCTTTAGAGCACTCCTGGGCTATTGTCTGGGCCGCACAAGGTAGTGACCCTGAAGTGTCCACAGGAGTGCCCCAAGTGGGAATGGGGACTTAAGGACAAGCCAAAGACTGGTTCACACTGAGAGAGCGTGGTCACCAGGAACTTGTCAGAGATGGGCAGCCCAGGCCTGAGTTCACTAGCAGCAGGCAAAGTTGCTGCAGACAGATCTCAGCTCCATGGAAGGGAGCAATGTCCCCAGATGTCCCCTGAGAAGGGTGAGCACCCTGTCATGGGTAGCATGTTGTGGCGATGACTCGAGGTCCCCTAGCCTTTGTTGAGCAGAGTGAAACTAAACTCTCTCCAGGATCCTTCCAGCCTCAATGTTCCTGGATTCTGAGATGCAGTGAAATTAGTTTATGGTGAATCATAGTGACATCTTTAAAGTGGATTTCTCTGCAATGTTTTGATCATTCATCATCTTCTCCCACCTACTTCTAAAAGTGGTTAGAGATGGCTGTATCTCTCCCAGAGAAGCAAATGCCTTCAGCCAGATCATGTCAATACAAGCTGTATTTGACAGCACAAATGCAAAACCATTTCCAGTGTACACAGAGAACTATTCACAGCTCTCCTACCCCAGAGAGTTTAGGATTAAAAATCCCGCCTCACCCCCCCACTTCTGTTCTGGAATCATAGAATCTCAGGGCTAGAAGGAGTATGCACACCCCCTATTGTCAGATGTTTCAGTCCCACCTCCAGCCTACCCTGAGTATCCTGCTTGAACCCCTCTGGTGTTGGGGAGCTCACTCCCTTCAAAACAGACTGTGCTATCTGTGGATGGTATATTCATTTCCTGTGCCTCACATGCCAAACTATCATAAACCAATGGCTTAAAGTGACAGAAAGGCATTCTCTCACATTTCTGGAGGCCGTAAGTGTGGAATCAAGGCAGTGCCATGCTCCCTCTGAAGGCTCCAGGGAAGAATCCCTCCTTGCCTCGCCCAGCACCTCATGAGGGCTCCAAGTAGTCCTTGCGTTGTGATGGTGGAAGGAGAGCCAGACACCTGTCACACCCCCACCTGCATCTCCTCAGCGGGACTCAAGTCAGGGCCACAAGAGGAGACAAGGTGACAGCCAGAAGACCTGGCCAACAGCAAAGCCCCAGCCGCCCTCTCCCAGCCCCTCCAAGCACCGAGCGTGTGCCTCCATTGGTAATGACCATCTCTCCTTTCTGTTGGCCATTTCAGTTGTTCGGTTGTTTCTTAGCTTGGGAGACCCGCAATGTCAGCATCCCTGCACTCAATGACAGCAAGTACATCGGCATGAGCGTCTACAATGTGGGGATCATGTGCATCATCGGGGCTGCCGTCTCCTTCCTGACCCGGGACCAGCCCAACGTGCAGTTCTGCATCGTGGCCCTGGTCATCATCTTCTGCAGCACCATCACCCTCTGCCTGGTGTTTGTGCCGAAGGTGAGCACTGCGGGCTCTCGCCACCCTGGCCTCGGGCCTCGACCCACCTCAAGGGGCCTGTCGCATTTCCTCCACTTGCTTCAAGTGTTACGTGTTCTTTATGATGGAGACAACTCACACTGTAGAAAATCCAGGACGGGCACAGAAGGAAAGCCAGATTTTTTCAGAAATTTCACATAGCCCTACCAACCCAAAAATAATCACTGATAATGTTTTATTTGGGCTTTTTGTTTTTACTAGTAATGTTTTAGGGGGGTTTTATTTAAGATTTTTTTGTGTGATTTTCTTTTTTCCGGAAGGCACGTGTACTTGCCAGAGGCAGACAGAGAAGGAGATAGCACCTCCTAGTAGGGCATAGTCACACTGCAGTCCCTTCTCCATTTCTTAGTCCTGTTGGGATTTGGCACACATGTGCCCAGCTTTTTATTTATTTATTTATCTATTTTGCCAAGCCACTGGGTCTAGGATTCGAATTGTGTGATAAGCCATGTGGAATCTGGTTCCCTTAATCACCAGGCCCTGGGGCTGGTCCAATTTTATTTTCGTTCCATGAATAAGACAGAGACAAAGACAGAGATAAAGTACCCAGTAGAATCTCGATGCCTTGATTCACTCCCAGCCTCAGCCAGGCTGGATCGTGGGCATGTGTGTGCCAGGCACACTCTGGGAGGGCTTCAGACCTGAACCAGGCATCTCCCCACGTGAGCCAGCCTGGCAGAGCCCTGCACTTTACCACTGTGCCAACAACAAGCCCCCATGCTGTTCATGTTTTTGATGTGTTTTCTTCTAGTCTTTTTTTTTTTTTAATGGCTAGAATGCGATGTGTTTTAAGACACAGCTGTAACTATAGCACTCTTAGGATTTTGTAGTTTGCCTTTTTCACTTAACTTTTTGTCCTCCCGGCTTTCCCACATCTTAACCACCACGGAGAGGAAGTTCCTTCATTTACAGTCCGCTTGATCCCTTAAGAGACCCTTACAGTTCTTTGAAGATTTTTTTTATACTATAAGTGAACATATTTTTCTTCATTACATATTTTCCTTGTTTCCAATATTCCCTTAAGATAGACTCACAGAGTAGTATTATGGGGTCAAAAGAAATAACTTCCTTTATTTATTTATTTGCGTTTTTGCCCTAGGACACATACACTCACCAGAGAGAGACAGAAAGTAAGAAACCACCCCCCATGGGGATGGCCACACCACAATCCCTCCTCCTCTGTTCTTCTTTGGGGATTTTGGGCACACACGCACCTGCTGTGATTTTCAAGTCATTGAGTCCAGGATCAAACCATTGTCAGCCATGTAGGAGTCTTTAACCACTGTACCACCTGCTGGCCCCAGAAATGATCATTTTTAGTAGCCATTTACATTTTTATTTATCCCAGAGCTGACCTTCAGGACCATCTTCGTGAGACAGTTTTCAAGCATCAACCTATACAGCAGTGGGCACAATGCATGTGGGGGGATGGTTGACCTGCAGTGGAGGGGTCGTGTAGAGGGGAGCCTGACCTCAGTGGGTCTCAAGAGGACAGACAGGAGTAGGACGCAGAGCTGGGAAGAAGCTACTAACCCAAGTAGGGGAGCATGTGCTCCAGAGTTGGGCAGGGGCAGAGGGAGATCAGGTGGGACCTGTTTAGGGGAGTGAGCTGCCCACTGCCTCCATCCTCCCTGGCATGCAGCCAGTTCTGGAATACCTCACCTCTGCCTTAAGGTGCCTCTGGTGTGTCCATCCCCACCCAGGCTCCAGGCCAACATGACAGCTTCTCTTTCTGCACCCTGACATTCTCTTCATCCTGCAAAAGTTGCCAGATGGCTCTCTCAGCCCACCTCCTATAGTGTCACTCTGCCCAATCAGCTTTGCTTACTCCCATTACCACCTCAGCTCCAGAATCTGGCTTTCAGGACCCTCGGCTCACCTCCAGTCTCCAGAATCCTGTTTACCATCTCGACAGTGCCCTGTGCCCCAGGCCTCCCTCCTTAGCATATGCTGTTTCTCCCCACTGCAGTTCCCCACCCTCCTCTCAGACCCTCTGCAGGACTCAGCCCAGGCTACAGCACTGTGGAGGGCCCTCTGTCCTTGATCTATGCTGGCCTGGTGTAGAGTAAGTCCTTCCTCTTCCCGACTCCACACCCGCGCCTCTGCACCTGGAAGTCCTGATGGGCCATGGCTCACTCAGCTCTCCAGTACTGTACAAGGTCACACACACCGAGGGGCAGAGCCCAGGCTGTGTCTTCCTGGGCCCCTGTCTCCAAGGCAGGCCTGCTGGGAGGGACTGCAGCTCTGATGCGTGGAAGGACCCAGGCTTCTCCCTTCAACCCCTTATACTTCCCGTGTCCTTTCAGCTCATCACTCTGAGAACAAACCCAGATGCAGCAACTCAGAACAGGCGATTCCAGTTCACTCAGAATCAGAAGAAAGAAGACTCAAAAACGTCCACCTCGGTCACCAGTGTGAACCAAGCCAGCACATCCCGCCTGGAGGGCCTACAGTCGGAAAACCACCGCCTGCGCATGAAGATCACAGAGGTATCCCCCACTCCACCTGGCAGCCAGGGCCCCTCCTTCCATTTGAGTCCCTCTGACTGGGACAGGGACTTTCAGAGCTTCCCTCACACCACATCCCCTCTAGAACATCCTGCCCCATGGTGACAGTCCCATCTGGTGCTCTTACAGCTGCAGGAACCAGGAACCGTTCACCACATAGGCAGCTTGACAGAGCCTGACAGTAGTTAACTGGCCACTGGGCCCGAGCTCTTGGCATCCAGTAATGCCACATTCGAGACATTCTCATAAAGAAGAATTCTAGAGATGCGTGAGCAGGATGATCATAGCTTCTTAAGTGTGTGTGTTCATGTGTGTGTGCATGTGCATGTATGTGTCTCCGTTTTACATTCTCCCAGCCAACCCAGTGGTATCCACATCTGTAGAAAGTACAGCTAGAGAAGAGGAAGTGAAAAGAAGGAGGGAGAGTTTGTTGCAGGAGACCTCACCCTTGTCCTGAAGGTCCTTCACAGGTCCTTAAATAGTCCAGAAAAATCCATAACCAGATCCCATTGTGCCCAAGCTCAAATTCTGGACTTCCTACACCAGGGAGAGAAAACAATTGAGTCCTTCCCCCTTTTTCACTTCTCCTTGTGGGTCAGGAGATGTGACTGGACTCGTGCTCTGCAGCCTTTAATAGCGGAATTCAAACTCAGCGAGGGGGACAAGAAAGGAACCCAGGACTGTGTTGGGCAGGGTTGCTGCCTACGCTGCTGCCACAAGGAGGCCCCAGAATAAAGTGGCCCAGACAAAATATGTTCATTCCTCTCTTACCTAGCAGTGTTGAGGACAGAGGTCCTGTTTGGGCAGCTCTGTGCCCATAGCCATGCTGGACTAAGTCCCTTCTCTGGTTTTCTGCCATTTCCCAAGGCGTTTCCCTCATGGGTGCAGGTAGAGCCAAATGGAAGTCATATCCACTCTCAGGAAGGGAAGAGTCAGGAATTCCACAGGAGGTAGTGCCCATTTGTCAAGTGACACAAAAATGGCACATATTTGGTGTCTGCTGCTGTTACATGGGCAAGAGATCTCAGGATCACACTCAGGGGAGACTGGTAAATACGGTCCCTAGCTGGACAGTTGCAAGGAAGTAGTCACGCACAGGATCGCCAGAGTAGACATAGGATACCCAGCTCAACTTCAATGCCCAGTCAACAGTCCACCATATTTTTCGGTGTAAGTCTATCCCAAACATTCTATGGGATAGACTTATCTCAAAGAAAAGGGTACTTTTGTTGTTGTTATCAGAAATTCAGATTGCACATTCTATTTTTTATTTGCAAGATCTCTCACCCCTTTCGAGGGGCTCACGGTAGATTTCCATGGAGAGCCACTACTGTAGGTTGTCTGTGCACCTGGAAATGACTCCTTTAGGACAGGGCCACCAACTGGCAGCAAAGTAGGAAAGGTGTCAGTCCGCGGGCCCCTCGCAGGTTCTGTGTTAAGGCCAGCCCTCTCTGTGGTTAGCTACGCCATGCCTCTGTGCTTTTACATATCACCTCTGCTTGCGTACTTCAACAATGAAGAGTTCACTCACATTAGGGAACCCATGTCCCTGTTAAGCCCCAAAAATGTCGGGTCTCTTTTCTGAAATTGATGCAATCTGACCTCCTCTTGCTCCCACCTCTGATGCTCACTCGGCCATTTGAGTTGCACAGAAAAGGGTATCCTGTTCCTCCTCAGCATGCAGACTTACGGAACAACGTAATGGTTGTACTCTAGACATCAGAACAGCTCTTTACAGAAAATAAGGTTCCTCCCCCTCCCTGTAGGGTGCCACCTCCCACCCCAACTACCATCCCCACCCCCCACCCACACCCACACACTCACTCCCCAGGCTTCTCAAGGGCTGAACTGCCCCAGGGTCTGCCACCTGATTCCTACTCAACCTGGAGATGACTGAGAGCCATCCTGATGAACTGCTCTGGATGAGTCCCTGCTGGTCTGAGATTTCATGGCAGTGTGAGGCTAGAAGCTGAGTAGCCCTGCATTTCCATCCTCTCCCTGAGGATCCTGTTAGGGACCAATAATAATAATTATAGCCATATTAGCCTAGTAACAGAGTACTCTTATTATGGCACTGAGCTAAACTTTCTATTATCCCATTAACATCACAGCATCCTGGCATGGTACACATATTATCATCCCATTCTACAAATAGAGGTTGAGACTCGATTCTCACAAGCCAGTAAGAAGGGGTGGCCATGGCCTGTCCCTGCCTCCCTGACTTGCTTAGCAGGTTCCATCAGGCTCCAGCCTACACTGAATTGCAAAGCCCAGGTCACTGTGATCAGAGCTTCTCCCTGAACAGCAGCTAGCAGTTGTTCTGTACCCCTGTACCTCATCACTAAGTTTCAGCAGCCCTTCTGTCTCCCAAAACCCTACAAAGCCAGGCAGGGACCCGCCCAGTAAGCCATCCCTTGCTTCCAAAGATGTGTTTTCCAGGGCTGGGGAGGGGACTCTGTCTCAGCTGGAGTCTCTGTCTTCTAGCTGGATAAAGACTTGGAAGAGGTCACTATGCAGCTGCAGGACACACCAGAAAAGACCACCTACATCAAACAGAACCACTACCAGGAGCTCAATGATATTCTCAACCTGGGGAACTTCACCGAGAGCACAGGTAAGCACAGGCAGGGCTCCTACAACACAGAGACTCTGCTTTCAGCAACCAACGGTCCACCGTCCAGTTTACAGGTGAACATACTGAGGCTCAGAGAGGCCCTGGTTGAAGTCACACCCACAGAGCTGGAGCACAGTTCGGTGTGTTCCTGAGCCCCACCCTGCCTGGCCTGTGGCGTTGTTTCTCATCTCTCAGGTTCCCGTTCCACAGGTGCACAGCATGCTGGCATGCCCAGTGTACAGCCAGGGCCGCGCCCTGTTACCTTTTTGTTCTATAGTTTACCCTTCCTTTTCTGGACAGTACTGCCTGGTTTCCAGCATGCCTCAGGAATGTACAAGAAAGGCACAGTCAGTAAGATATGATATGATGCTCAACTCACCAACCACTCGCAAAATACATGCCACAGTAACACAAACCACTTTTTCCCTACCTTTTGGAAAAAAATGTACAATATTGCCAGTATGGGGGCCTGCTGGTTGTGTGGTGATTAAGGTGGCTGGATCCCATGTGGCCTACTGTGCAGTTTGACTCCTGGGACCAAGTGACTTGAGAAACATGCTGGGCGTGTGTGCATGTGTGCCCAAAATCCCAAGAGGAGAATGAAGAAGGGATTGTGGGACGGCCATCCCCTCAGGGGTGGGTGGATGGGGAAGGGATTGATTTCTCACTTTCCTTCTCACTCTCTATTGCTCTCTGGCAAGTGCATGCACACTATAGCAAAAACTTTAAATTAAATTAAAAAATACTCCTAGTAATTTTAGCATTTGGCAAAGGTGGGCATTTCAAATTGGTGGCAGAAAAATGAATTATTCAATTTCATTAGGATAAATGGTTAGCCATCTGGCAAAGAAGGTAGATCCTTACCTCATATCTTCCATAAAAATAAATTCCAGATGGATGAAAGATTTTAATGCTAAAAGCAAAACCATAAAAGTACTAGAGGAAACCAAGGGATTTCTTTTCTTAATAAACTCAGAGAAAAGGCCTTTCTCAGTTTGATGCAAAACAGAAGCCACAAAAGAAAAGGTTGATAAATTTAACTACCAAAAAAATGTTTTTCACAATGCATCTGCTATCATAAGTACAGTCAAAAAGTCAAACAACAAACCAACCCCCAAAATATTTTAACTCCGGTAATAAGCTTATTCTCTTATATAAAAAAGGAATTATATGCAATTATACACAAAATATATATAATTACATACAAATTAATTTTTTACGTACCTACAACCTAAAAGAAAAGTCAGCCAATGAGAGTTCTAATGAAAGGAAATAGAGGGCCGATCGTTGGTGTGGTGGTGAAGGCAGCAGTATCCCACATGGCTGACTACATGATTTGAGTCCCAGACCTGCAGACCCTGAAAAACACACCAGGCACTTGTGTATGCACCCAGAATCCCAAAAGGAGGGAGAGGTGGAGCAGAGAGAAGGGTGTGACTATACTCCATGGATGGGTGCTTTCTCACTTTCCCGCTCTCTATGTCTCCATCAAGTGCAGGTGCCCTTTGGCAAATTTTAAGATAGGAAGTACAAGTGGTTCTTACATTTATAAAAAGATGCTCGGGACCAGCAGTTGGTGTAATGGCTATGTTGCTGGACTCCCATATAGTTGACTACGGTTCAAGTCCCGGACCCGGTGGCTTAAACTCATGTCGGGCACGTGTGTGTGCGTGCCCAAGATCCAGAGAGGAGAATGGAGAAGAAGGGATTGTGGTGTGGCCATCCTCCCTGGGGGGTGATTTCTTACTTTCTGTCTCTCTGTCTCTCTCTGTCTTTCTGGTGAGCGCATGCGCCCTATAGCAAAAACCTCTCCCCCCAAAAAAGAAAAGAAAGGATGCTCGATCTCACTCCTTATTCAAGGAATACAAAATGAGTTTGCGATGAGATACCATTTTCACCTATACTACTGGCAAAGATCAGAGATCAAAAATTGCTAAGAGGACAGTCTCCATGACATACTAGTAAATATGCTGTTCAAGAAAAGCCACATGCTGACCACAGTTCGAATCCCCAGTCAGTCAGCCCAAAACATGAGTGCCCAAGATCTGATGGGCTGGAAGACTGGAGGAGGGTGATTGTAGTGTGACTAGACCCTGTGGAAGACCCTATCTCTGGCTCTCTCTAAATCTCATCTGCATGCACACTAATGGATAAAGAAAAGAAATTTGTAAGTTAATGTGAGTTTAAGGAAACACATGAGGAAAGGGACATTTTCAAACATCACTTGTTAAAATAGAAACTGTTTTGACTCAGCAACTCCATTTGGGGGATTCGTTCTATGTGTCTTAGTCCATTTGTGCTGTTATTTTTTAAAAAAATGCCAAGGGAACCAGCAGTTAGCGTAATGGCTATGTCGCTGGACTCCCATGTAGTCGACCGCGGTTCGCGTCCCGGACCCGGTGGCTTAAAACTCACGCCGGGCGCGTGTGCGTGCGTGCCCAAGATCCCGAGAGGAGAATGGAGGAGAAGGGATTGTGGTGTGACCATATCCCCTGGGGGGTGATTTCTCGCTTTCTGTCTCTATGTCTCTCTCTGTCTGGCGAGCGTACGCGCCCTATAGCAAAAATCTCTCCAAAAAAAAAAAAAAAAGAAAAGAAATGCCACAAGCTGAGTAGGATATAAATGACAGTTTATTTCACACAGTTCTGGAGGCTAGGAGTCCAAAGCATGGCCCTGGCAGGTTCCGTGTCCACCTCAGAGTCAGTGCCTGGAACGGTGCATTTTCTGGAAGGAAGGAACGCTACGGCCTCACTTGGCAGAAGGGACAAGAGGAACAAAGCCACTAACTCAAGCCCTTTTGTTTTGTTTTTTGGTGTTTTGGGGGTTTTTTTGAGAGATTTTTGCTATAGGATACCTGTACTTGCCAGAGAGACAGAGAGATAAAGTGAGAAATCACCCCCAGGAGAGATGGCCACGCCACAATAGCTCCTCCTTGACTCTCCTCTTGGGATCATGGGCACACACGCTTAAACATGCCCTGCATAAGTTTTAAGTCACCAAGACTGAGATTCAAGCCATGGTCGACTATGTGGGAGTCCAGCGTCGTGACCATTACACCATCTGCTACTTCCACTCAAGCCCTTTTGTAAGAGTCCTAATCCCATAATAGCCTTACCTCCTAATGGCTGCCCTCTGTAAGTTTCAACAGGCGAATGGGGCGGGGGGACATATTCACACTGTACCCTGGCTCTACGGGCATTCTCATCATGCATGGTAACTAGCAGTAGCTAAATTCTGTAAAGTCCCCTCGAGTAGTGAATTAACAAATACCAAACTACTGTTTCTGAGTCAGTATCCTTGTCGACCGATCGCTGCTTGGTTTCATGTGTATTTCTGTTTAAGTTGCCGTATTTAATAGATAGTCGATTCATTACCACTGCACTCGTAGCCAGCAGCCTGAGAGCTCACGCCCGATGGGAGCTGACCTAACACACATGTTTTCTGAGTCCCATCACAGCCCTCTGTCTGAGGAACACTAGACGTACTTCGGCTCTGTGCTTTGGCCCTTTTAAAAAGCGAAATTGCCGGGAACCAGCAGTTAGCATAATGGCTATGTCGCTGGACTCCCACGTAGTCGACCGCAGTTCGCGTCCCGGACCCGGTGGCTTAAAACTCACGCCGGGCGCGTGTGCGTGCGTGCCCAAGATCCCAAGAGGAGGATGGAGGAGAAGGGATTGCGGTGTGACCATCCCCCCTGGGGGGTGATTTCTCGCTTTCTGTCTCTATGTCTCTCTCTGGCGAGCACACACACCCTATAGCGAAAACCTCTCCCCCCCAAAAAAAATGTGAAAAACTTACCACAAATGTACCTCAAAAAGATGCTTATTTACATTAGGAGAGCTGGCATAAGAAGGCAGAGGTCGCCTTGTTTGACCTTAGCTGGGAATATGTACATCGGGCATCTTGAAATTTTTGACAGTCTTTGCCTGTCAGCAAATGACCACAAAAGCATTGTGAGTGTTGATTTCGTGGTTACAAATAAATGTGAGTGAGTAGATGAGTTCATGAACACAGAATTCATGAATAATGAGGATCAACTCTACTCACGTGGTGCTAAATGACACACACGTGTAAGACTGACCAGTGCCGCAAAAACGGACAAGCACATGAATGCTCCCCTCCACACCAAATCCATCCAGATCTCTCAGGTGAGGGCCAGCTTTTACATTCGTTTAACTCTTGTGGCGTTCTGAAGCACCAAAGGTGCTGTTGAGAGGATTTACAACACCATGTTTTGTGGCTACACAATATTTTTTGTGAATGGAGGCCCCATAACTTATGCCATTAATCCATTGTTACTACACAGATTTAAATTAGGTCTAACATTTTGATGTTGAAAATGATGCTGAGTTAACCGTTTTGTAATGTGTCTGCACACGTAACCCTAATTGTTTCCTTGGGATGATTCCCAGAAGTGGAAATTCTAGGCAGCTTGTGGGCCAGCAGGTAGGGTGGCGGTAAAGGCAGCTGGACTCCACAGCCTTCAGTACCAGACCCAATGGCTTGACCATTACACTGGGCACCTTGAAATTTGCACTGGCTGTATGTCCGTGCCTGCCCAAAATCTCAAGAGGAGAATGGAGAAGGGACTGCGGCATGGCCATACTCTCTAGGGGACGATTTCTCACTTTCCTCTCTCTCTCTGTCTCTCTCTGACAAGTGCACATGCCTTATAAGAAACTTCAAAAATAAATTAAAAGATATGCACCTTTTATGGTGTTTGATATGTATCAACAATGCCCTCCCAGAAAGGCGATGCCATTTATACCCCCTGCCAGCAGCTTTCTGACAAGTGAAAAGAGCCTTACTACCTGCTATTAGAACTTCTCATTTCTAAGTTCTGTTGCTATATTGTCAACTTGGCTCCCCCCTTTTTTCTTGGAGAGAGGGTGGGCACGGGGCAAGACATACACGTCCCTAGCACACTGCTTCCATCCCCAGGCCGAGGCATCTCAGCTCACTGCCCTGGTCCTGGGATAGCAGGTACACAGACCATGGCTGAGAAAACACAGAAGGTTGTTGGACTTTTTTGCATTCTCTCTCCTCAGGCAGCATCCTGAAAAGATCGCAGTGTTGATTTTTCAAAAACTAAGCTAACAGAATGTGTTGTGATGTTTTGCATTCAGATGGGGGAAAGGCCATTTTAAAAAATCACCTTGATCAAAATCCCCAGCTACAGTGGAACACCACAGAGCCCTCTCGAACATGCAAAGACCCTATAGAAGATATAAACTCCCCTGAACAGTAAGTATCTTCTCCTTTAGAGTTTTTACCAATGAATACATTACTCCTGCTCAACAAGTTATAGTTTGCACCGTATTTTGCATCCATTATTTTAACTTCACAGCAATCCTCTAATGCAAATCATATTATAATTTGTCTGTTTATTTTTTAAAACAAAAAAACTCATTCCATAAGTGGAGGTGACTTGTCAAAGCTCACCCAGTTGCTAAGTGCAGGAGATGGGATTTGAACACCAATTCTCCAGTGTACCACATTGCCTTTGTCACATAGCAGGTGTAGCCTCGCTACCTGCATTTACTTGAAAGTGATTCATTGAGCCCTCTATAGGTGTTGGCGACACAGCAGTGGAAAAAACAGACAAAAGTCCCTCCTTTCATGGAAACCCCACTCTATTGGGCAGCTTAATAACTTTAAAAAAAAAATGCAAGACTTCGGATATTAAATGATAGGTGTTATGGAGAAAAATCAAGCAAAGAAGGGAGTTGGGGAGTGTCATTTTAGGTAGGGTGGTCAGAGAAATCTCAAGGAGAAGATGACATCCAAGCCTTGGGACTAGCAGTTAGTGTAATGGCTAAGTCGCTGGACTCCCTTGTAGTCGACCCCGGTTCAAGTCCCGGACCTGGCGGCTTTAACTCATGCCAGGCATGTGTGCGTGCGTGCCCAAGATCCCAAGAGGAGAATGGAGGTGAATGGATTGCAGTGTGGCCATCCCCCCTGGGGGGTGATTTCTCGCTTTCTGTCTCTCTGTCTCTCTCTGTCTTTCTGGCGAGCGCACGCACCCTGTAGCAGAAAAAAAGAAAAAGATGACATCTAAGCCTTGGACATCTCAGTTAGCTTTGTCTCACTGGCCATTTTGTCTTCCTATCTTACAGCAGATTGGAAGCAGAGGTCGGACATGTCCATTCTGAAACTTGGCCTCTAGAAAGTGACAAGCAATGAGAACACAAAGGTGGCCAGATCACCAACCACAGCGTGTTGGGGGGCATTTGCAAGTATCAGGGCTAAGTCTCTATTAACCCAATTAGCTCCAAGGCAGGACCAGTTTTTAGTCCAGAACAGTTCCTGATGGTTACATGGCATTGGGCAGCGGTTAACCTATCAGCTGGCCTCATCAGGGTGTAGGTACCTTGAGGAGAAGGTATAAACCCTTCCTGTGTCCCCTGGACTGAACACTGGCTCCAGCATTGAGTCAGTTCTTGGCAGGCATTTGTTGAATGAATGAAAGGTGAACAAGATCCCACCAGGGAGCAGGATTCTCTGACTTGGACAGCCTCAAGGCAGATGCCCGCCTTGCCTAGGAAGAAGCTCTGCCCTGAGTGCTTGGACAGGGCACCTCTTTCCCAGGTCAGGTTCATACTTCAGCTCCCTATTTTTTCCCCCGGACTCTTTGCCAACGTCATCATGGCTGATGTTACACAGGTTCGACTTTGATTTCAGAACGAGATCCCCAGCACTTCAGTCCCATGCACACTCGGAAGGTGTCTCTGGGGAGATGCCTTTCTGGTCAACAGGTCCTTAGGGAATGGGAGTCAGCCTTTCATCTGCCCCCCTACCACGCCCGGTCTCAGAACCCATAAATGTCCTAAACAAACTTCAGGCACACACCATGTTGGGATGAGGCAGCCCTGTGGATTGATTTGCTTCTACCCCAAAGCAATATGATTTCAAGAAGCAAAAGCCCCAGTTTCTTAGTGCAGTTTTGTCTCCATAGACAAGTCTTTGGGAAGTCTATGACCTTTGTACCTTTCCCTGTCTTTTCATGCGAATAGCACCACTTCCTTTGCTTGTTGGGGTTTTGTTAGGATCTAGACTTTTTATTGTTATTTTTTTCACCTGAGTGACCAGGCACTGGGGGCACGAGGCACGGGAATCTAGTCCTGTCCCTGGGGAACACCCGTATGTAATGTACAAGAAAGCAGCTGAGCAGAGCAGGGACCAGTTGCCTGGGCACATTCCCCAGGAGCAGCTTTTTCAACAATTAAGGTTACTTAGTGACATGATAGTCATTAAGACCACCCAGGACTGTGCCTGTGAGGAGGGAGCCAGAGGGCAGCTCCCTTTCCCTTGCTGACCCTCCTCAGTCGAAGGACCGTGCCTGTGAGGAGGGAGCTCCCTTTCCCTTGCTGACCCTCCTCAGTCACTAGTTCAAGCCCGCCCCATCCAGCTTGACCCTGTCTCCAGATTTTTCTTGCTTTTGGTATTTACCAAGGGCTCTGGTTTCTGGGTATTTGCTAAGAGCTCCGGGAGATTAGAGGACGAGAAGGAGGCTCCCTTTCCAAGGGAATTGGCACAGAGAAGTTGACATTTTACTGGATCTTGAAGGAAACATAGTTCATCAGGTCAGGAAGTAAAGGAAAAGCATTCCTATGGGGAACCAGCTTGTGCAAAGGTGTGGAAGAGCACCCAGGAGCACTATTTTAGGAGACATTCCCACCCAGAAGGCAGGGCTGCAGGGAGAGGGAGTACCTGATTCACCTGGAGAGTTTAGTGAACCCCGAAGGTCCCATCAAGTCATGTCCTCTTTGTCCTTTCATGGCTTCCCAGTGTTGGGAAGATAACACTAGTCACCAAAGAAGCCAAAGACCAAGAAAGAACCTGCTGGAACTGGCCCAGCAAGAAGGGGTGAGGTCCTGGGCAAAGCAGCAGCAGAGGGGAATGAGGAGAGAGCAGCTGAGAAGCTTTTCAAGAATGAGACCAAGAGCCAAGTCCACTGGAGACTTCTGAGAGGAGAGAACGAGAAGTGCTGTGTTGGCAGCCACGCCTTGCTCTCAGTAATACCGCCATGTCAGTTACAGTCATTGCCAGTCCTGGACAGAAGCTCAAAAAGGCTGCCTCTTCCTTGGTCGTCCTAGTCTCCCTGGCTATTCCCGGGTGTGTGTGTGTGGGGGGGGGGAGGTTAGCTGGTATGCATAAGCCTACATTAACAACTGGCTGGATGGTTGAGTTGTTAGATGATTGGAGGGACAGATCTTGGATTCAGAGAAAAAGATGCTCCTATCGTCAGCTTTCAGAGCCAAACCGAGTCCAAGGAACTTTCTGGTGAGTAGCCTGAGTCTTCACTAACACTGCTCCCTCTGTTTCTCTCCAGTATCCAGCGCCGGCTGTCCCTCCAGCTCCCCATCCTCCACCACGCCTACCTCCCGTCCATCGGAGGCGTGGACGCCAGCTGTGTCAGCCCCTGCGTCAGCCCCACCGCCAGCCCCCGTCACAGACATGTGCCACCCTCCTTCCGAGTCATGGTCTCGGGCCTGTAAGGGTGGGAGGCCTGGGGCCGGGGCCTCCCCTGGGACAGAACCACAATGGGCAGAGGCAGCT